CCGCTCCGCGGCACGTGGGATCCTCCCGGACCGGGGCACGAACCCGCGTCCCCTGCGTCGGCAGGCGGACTTTCAACCACCGCGCCACCAGGGAAGCCCCAGGCCTGGATCTTAACAACGCTCCTCTCTCCCCACCCCATGTCCTCTCCCCATCTTCTCAAAGGCATGGTGATGTGCCTGCGCGCCCGCACTACGTGGCCTGCTCGCTTCAGGAAAGCTGAACAAGTGCCGTGCCTCCTGGAACCTGGCCGGGGGCGGGGCCGGGGCGGGGGCGGGTGAGCGCCAAGCCACCACCTCCACGTCTGCCCGGGCCTGGCTTGCACTCTGAGACTCAGCAGCAGACCAGCTGCAGGCGCCACCCGGGCTCTGGGCCCAGGATCTGGGCAGGGAAAGGGGGCAACAGGATTTTGCCCAGGGGTCTCAGCAGGCACAAAGGAGCACCTCTTGGGCCCAGCTATGGGGAGAGAGGGGCCGTGGGGGGATTTAGGGTTCAGGCTCTGCAGAGCGGGTGACGGAGAGCTGCTCACAGCCAGCACTTCTGGGCCACCGTGGAACTTGAGGCTCCTTGCGAGACCGCTGGGCATAGGTGTCCAGGAGGCAGCTGGACACGCGGTCCCGCGACCCCAGGAGAGGCTGGGCTCCAGCTGCGGTCAGGGGAGCTCTCGGGCTGAACGGGGAAATGTCACCAGGGAGGAGGGTGCCCCATGCCCCGTGACCCAGAGGTCGGGAGGTCAAATCGAAAACGTGTTTGTGGGGTTTGGCAGTTGGAGTCCGAGGTTACCTGAGCAAGAGCTGCGGAGCGGGGGCGAGGGTGCGTGGGGCTGAGCCTTCTCCCGAGACCCTGTGTGAGGCTTTGGGGAGCTGCGGGAGGCGAGGACAGTGTGGACCAGGACTGGGGCCTGCAGGCGTGGTTCTGTGGAAGCAGGACGTGCGCTGGCTCCTGGGGCCGGGAGGGAACAGTCACCGCAGCCGGAGGCTTCAGAGAACAGAACCTTATTCTTCCACAGCTGAGGGGCCAGGATCTGGAATCGGTGCTTCTGGCGTTTGGTGGCAATGCTGGGTTTTGGGGGCTGAAGCTGCACATGCCTCCAGTCTGCTTCTGTTGGCTAGGCATCGTCCCCCTCTCTGTCTTCCTGTGAGGACACAGTCGTGTTGGAATAAGGGCCTCTCTACACCAGTGTGACCTCACCTTAACCTTAACTTAGTTACATCTGCAAAGACCCTATTTCCAGAGGCCATGGCCCAGAGGACGCGGGGCCAGGGTGGGCAGAGGGGGACACAGCCGGGCTGAGGTGAGAGACTTGGGACGGAGGGCAGGGATCTGGCTGAAGCCCGGTGGGGAGCCAGGAGGGAGCAGAGGCCGGGGCAGCAGTGGGTTGAGGTGGGGGAGGATTCGGAGGGGTCCCTGGGAAGGGGGAGGGAGAAGCACACACATACATGGAGACCCCGCCCAAGGGCAGGGCAGGGACCGGCCATCGCTGGGTATTGAGGCCAAGGGTGGGTGGAGGCCGAGCCGCTGCACCAGGACCCTGGGGGGAGGGCGACGAGGCTGTGGGGTTGAGATGGAGGCCAGAGGATGGCCTACAGGAGAAAACAGAGCCCGCACCCCCCAAGGCTACCGTGGGGTCCCTGTGCTCACATGGTCCCCTCCTGGGAGCCGCAGGGCAAGGGGAGGGACTGAAGCTGGATGTGACACCCCTCCCTCAGGAGGGCCGGCCGCACCGGAGGTGGGTCCTGGGTGCGGGGTTGACCTCCTGACCGTGTCTGCCCTCCCACCCACCTGGGCTGTCTCGGGCCCCTCACAGAGCCTTTCCATCCCCACAGGGAGCAGACGGTGGACCCTGGCTGAGCAAGTTCTGTGCGACGGACAGCCACGTCTCTCCTCTCAACCTCCTGGTCACCAGTGGCACTGAGACGGCTGTCGTCCCTGAGACCGTGAAGGCCAGCACGGGGCACCGGCACCCCATCCGGGCCCCAGGCCAAGGCAGCCACGTCCACCCAGGCCAGGAGCATCGCCGGGGTGTACGTGGAGGCCTTGGGCCAGGCCCAGCATCTCTACGCTGTCATGAAGCAGGGTCTCCTGCCCTTTGGGCTCGGGCTGGCTCTGCTAGAGGCCCAGGTGGCCCCGGGCAGGGCCAGCTGCGCCTCGTGTCTGAGGCCCTGCAGCAGGGCCTGGTGGGCCTGGAGCGGAAGGAGAAGCCGCTGGCCGCTGAGTGCGCAGTCACTGGGTACCCTGACCCTCTGGGGGTGGGAAGCTGGCCCTCTTCCAGGCCATAGGGAAGGAGGTTGTGGACAGGGCACTGGGGTGGAGCTGGCTGGAGGCCCAGCGGGCCACGGGGAGCCTGGTGGACCCCATCCAGCGTGTGCGCGTGGCCCCTGAGCTGGCCTGCCGGCAAAGCCTCCTGGACCAGGACATGGTGTGGGCTGTTGGACCTTGGGCCTGGCTCAAGTGCCCCAGGCTTCCTGGACCCCAACACGCTGGAGCAGCTGCCATACCGGGAGCTGCTAGGCAGGTGTGTGCCCGCCCCAGCACGGGGCTGGGCCTGCTGCCCCTCAGTATCACTTTCTGTATGCTGAGTGGGGCACTGAGCTTGGCCGGGCTGCTGGAGGTGGGGGTCCTGGGCGCGGAGACGGCCCAGGCCTGCGGGAGGGCAGGCTGGCGGGGCCGGATGTGGGTGCACGCGCCAAGGTGCAGCGCCACCCTCAGGGCACCGGCGGTGTGGCAGGGGTCGTCCTGCCGCCTGCAGGGCACAGGAAGAGATTCTTCCAGGCCTCGGCCGAGCACCTGCTCCCCATGGGCGCCACGCTTCCGATCCTGGAGGCTCAGGACGCCACCTGCATGCTGGTGGACCCAGCCACCGGCCGGCAGCTGTGGGTGGATGAGGTGGTCAGGGCAGGCCTGTTTGGACCGGAGCTCCACAGGCAGCTCCTGGCAGCAGAGCAGGTGGTGACGGGGTATCATGACCCCTTCGGTGGCATCCGAATCCCCCTATCCCAGGCCATGAAGAGGGAGCTGGCGGACAGGCCTCCGGCACTGAGGTTCTTGGTTGCCCAGCTGGCCACAGGCAGGCTAGTGTGTCCTGCCCGCAGGCTCCGGCTGCCCTTGGAGGCCACCCTGCACTTCGGCTGCCTGGACAAAGAGAGTCAGCAGCATCTCTCGCAGGCGGCTGGCTTCTCGGACCCTGGCATGCAGGAGAGCCTCAGCTGTGGGAAGCTGCTGGGCCACTGTGGCACCGACCCAGAGACGGGGCTGGCCTTCCTGCCCATCTCAGTGGGGAGCCCTGGAGAGGAGCCACAGGGGCCCCCGTTCACTGAACACAGCACCTGGCAGGCCGTGAGAGCTACCGTGGCCACCGTCTCTATGGGCAAGTTCCAGTGCCGGCCCGTGTTGCTCTGGGAGCTGCTGTTCTCCGAGGCAGTCCCCGTGGAGCAGAGGGTGACGCTGACCAAGCAGCACAAGGACGGGGCCCTCTTGGTGGAGGAGCTGGCGGCTTCGCCGAGGGCCACCCACGAGCAGGCTGCAGCCACTGCCAGGACCACCTTTGCTGGGTGAGGATCCCCGTGACTCCAGGAGAGCTTCTGAGAGCAGAGATCATCAACCAGGGCGTGTACGAGCAGCTGGAACGAGGCCGGACCATGGCCCAGGACGTGGGCAGCCTGGCCTCGGTGCAGAGGTACTTGCGAGGCACTGGCTGCATCTCCGGCTTGCTGCTGCCCGGCTCCCAGGAGCCCCTCAGCATCCACGAGACTTGTAGGAAGGGGCTTCTCAGGCCCGGCACAGCCCTCACCCTCCTGGAGACGCGAGCAGCCACTGGCTTCATCATCGAAAGAAAACAAGGGGTATTCGGTGGAGGAGGCACTGAGGGCTGGCGTCATTGGGCCCGACGTGTTCGCGAGGCTGCTGTCGGCCGAGCGCGCCGTCACGGCTACACCGACCCCTACACCGGGGAGCAGATCTCTCTCTTCCAGGCCATGAAGAAGGGCCTGGTCCTCAGGGAGCACGGCATCCGCCTGCTGGAGGCCCAGATCGCCACAGGCGGCGTCATCGACCCCGTGCACAGCCACCGCCTGCCCGTGGACGTGGCCTACCGGCGCGGCTACCGCGACAAGGAGATGAACCGCGTCCTGCAGGACCCCAGCGACGACACCAAGGGCTTCCTCGACCCCAACACGCACGAGAACCTCACCTATGTGCAGCTGCTCCAGAGGGCTACTCCTGACCCAGAAACAGGCCTCTTGTTTCTTCTCTGTCTGGAAAGTGAGTGGGTATTCTTTCTAATTGGTTGTTTTTTTCAACCCTGAAAAATATGTGACAATATTTTTAAACATTTTTTAGCGTGCCGGTATCTGTGTGCAACGTGTTCCACTTACGTGTACAGCCACATTCTACTCTCTTCCATCCTTTTTTGCTTATAGTTCCTCATTGCATTAAAGGAAAGACATTGTCCTTTATGATTTTTTTCTCTTCACCCTTGGTGTTATCAGTTGTGAATTTTCAATTAAAATTTCACAAGTGGCCATTTCTGATAGACTCTGATGCATTTAGAGTGAAGGACTTTCCTGTTTCCCTGGCCTGTCACACTGAAGTGTATGCATCAATTTGTTATGTTCCCATTTTAATTAAATCCGTTCCTTTCAGTTATCGATTTTCCTCCTGTTTGTTAAGTAAACCATTTCCCATCAATTTCTCGCTGTAGTAAGTGCCTTTTGGGTCTCAATTTGGGGTCGACCTACTATTATTTTCCATCCTATGGCTGCGTTTTGAGGGGGCAGAGGCTGATTCTGTCCCCTGGTGCAGCTCTCCCAGTTGGTATGACTCCCTTGGTTTGCGTCACCAGCTCTGCTCTGGAGGTATGGCCTTTACAACGTACAGAGAATTGTTAGTATGTCAACAAAGATTTTTTTCTTTGATTTCAGATTTTTGAAGGTTCCTCCACAGAACTCTTTATCCTTATTGTAGATATGAGGTTAATCACAGGAGATAAGCATTGACAACCTAGGGTGGCATATAGTCATATCGAGAATGGTCTCTGCTTACACTGCAGTTCAGGTGTCAGACTCTTGGATGAGCCTGGAACTTCAGACACTCATTGCACAGCGTCTGGTTGGGGCAGGTGACAGAGGGCTAAGTCTTGCTGGTCCCTCCTTTGCGACACAGCGCGTTCTGAGCAGTGTGAGTGATGGTTTCACAGGATCACCTGAGGGGGGTGGAGTGGGGAGTGCGGGGGCTATGCTGGTCCACCAGGATGACGGCAATGGAGTTATGTCTATGCAGAAGGTTGGGAGGAAGAGAGGTGTGCAGGGGACTCTGAGAGACCAACAGGCTGAAGGCCTTTGAGCCCGGGGTGAGGGGGGAAGTCAGGGTTGTGGCTTATGTTTGGGAGAAGGCACACACGTGTCCACTACTTTTCTCTCCAGAAAGACATAGTGAAGGGAGGGGGAGGACTCAGCAGGTGTGAGCGGGAGACTATTGAAAGGTAGTGGGGGTTTGGGATAAAGGGGGTTTTAGACAAGAATTCTAGAGCACATCCCCTGTTGACATGGCTGGAGAGTGTGCGGGGCCTCTGGGGTCAGGGCTCCCTTCTGATGGCTCCACTGTTCCAGAAGAGCCATCAGCCGGAAGCGGAGAGAAGGCCATCCGGGAATGTGGGAAGGTGTGTGTGTGGACATGAAAGGGAAACACCGAATTGCAGGCCAGTGGGAGGTCTGTGGTCACTAATTAAAGTCCACCTGCTTGCGTATTTTTGTCTCCTTCGGGGACCGTCCCACGTGTTCCTTAGGGGATGGGGGACGTGCCGGGAGAGCTGGCCTCCCCGACGCACATTCCTGCCCTTCCCCCAGACCCTCGCGGTGATCCCCGGGCTGAGCGGGCTGCGCCCGGCCCGCTCCACACTGGGTTCACCCCAAGGCGGGCGCCGGGGGACTGGGCCGGGTTTCAGGATGTGTGTGGCAGGAGTGTGATGGGGAACCGGTGCAGTAAGTACCAGCGGCTCCCAAAGCTGGGCAGGGCCGGTCGGCGCAGGCCTCCGCGCGCCCGGGGAGGCCCCGACGGACCCGGCTCCGGGCCGCCACGGAAACCCC